ACACACACACACACACACACACACACACACACACATGCCCCCCCCCACCCCCCGCGTGCGTGTGAAAAACACAAACATTAAAATGTGAAGTTTTATAACATTCATACTGGTGAGGGTGGGTGCACCCTGCGCGTGTATCCAAAGCGTGACTTTTGCTGTGGTGTTGTTGAAATGTCTCTTGTCACGGAGGGGTCTGTGGGTCACGGAGGGGTCTGTGGGTCAGGGAGGGGTCTGTGGGTCACGGAGGGGTCTGTGGGTCACGGAGGGGTCTGTGGGTCAGGGAGGGGTCTGTGGGTCACGGAGGGGTCTGTGGGTCAGGGTCGTCTGAGGAGGAAGGAGATGAAGGGAGTTGCGCGCAGGAACTTTTATGTAAGATTTAAGTTTTTTATTTCAAAAGTCCTTATGGTTCAGCAGCAGAAGCATAAATTTTACGGCATATATGTTGTAAATAAAGAAAACTACCCTGGATTTGAAAATTTAATTTGGCCCCCACAGCTGAATTTAAATGGCTGTAATTGAGCAATTTTAAGACTAACTGAGCTGAAATTTGTTGTGGTGTAGCTGAGAATGATTGCTAGTCCCAGTTTAAGCTAAGCGCTAATGATAACTTTACAAATGACTATGAAAGTAGTTGCCAAGAATAAACTTTAACAACACCTGAATACAAATAGAAAATCCAAGATGGTCACCAAAGCTAATTTCAAATAACTGGACCTCAGCCATTTTTTTAGAAATAATGAGCTGAAATTTGCTAAGATGGTAGCCAAGAGTAGTCCTCATGTCATTTTGAAATCTTAGTTTTAACCTTAATCTGACATTTATTGTGGTAGCTGAGAGTGATGCCTAACAGAATCTAAAATCAAATAAAAAAATAAAAAATGTCCACCAAAACTAAATTCAAATAGCTAAAAAATATTCTTTTTTAAATATATATGCAACTAAAATTTGTTATGGTGGAATAGTTGCTTTTATATTAATTCAGTGGTTCAGAAAATTTATTTTTCTTCACACACTGAAAGGTTCCCTCTACACTAGATATTACAGCTGTATTACAGATATTTACTTTGTTTAGCTCTAACTGACCATCTTTTAGTTGGTTGAAGTACTATTGAGCTTTAGTTTAATTGTAAATACACACTAAAATTAATTTAATAACATTGAAATTTACTATAATTTACTAAATAATTACTTTGTAATAACATGATAATTAGGTGACTGAATTTAGTTTGTAATCTCTTGGCAAATAGTGGTTACTTGAGGTACTATTAAACTGGAATATAATTGTAAAAACCCACTAAAATCTGATTTAATTGCATAGGAATTTACTATGTAATGACAAAGTAAATGACTGTAAGTATCTACATAGTAAATTGTATATTTACTTACAATGTAATAACTTAGTATTTTCATGGTAATTTGGGGACTGTAAAAGAAAGACTTGGCAGGCTTGCCTTCACCTAATGCCTGTTTAGAGGGCTGAATTATTCTCTACTTGTCCCTGATCGATTACAGCACAGAAACAGATGGAGGCTGTCCTTTAATATGTACAAATATCATATATCATTATAATAATTCTTCTTTACCTCCTCTTTGTCCTCTTCAGTGCCTTCATCCACGAAGCCAGTGACCCATCCCAGCAGGTGCTTCTGGTGGATTCCTCCCTGCAGACCCCCATGGGTCTGGCTCTGGACTGGCTCCAACACAACCTGTACTGGACCGACTCTGGAGACAAGTCCATCTCTGTGGCCTCAGTGGACGGCACCAAGAGGCGCGTCCTGATCAACACTGAGCTGAGCGAGCCTCGAGCCATCGCTCTGGACCCTCACCACGGGTGAGACGGCAGAGATGAACGGTTTTATTTATTTATTTACTTTTAATGCCACTTTCATCCTTTCAAATGCTAAAATTAAAGATCTTAATCTGCAACCACTGCCTAACATCCCAGCACCAATCAACTTTCTTCTCTAAAAATCAGCTAGAGCTGCAACGACTAATCGATTATTAAAATAATCGATGACTAATTTAATAATCGATTAATCGTTTTCTTTTTCTTTTTTTTTGTTCTTTACTTTGTTTTTCTCTCCAAACTGCTTTGACACCTTCCACTGCCACATCTGCCTTTCTGTCCTTGACACACATGCACAGTAGTGGTAACTGGGGTAGGCCGTGGACGTCACAAGACATTATACAGACAGGCTCTGGTATCATGGCTACCTGACAACGGAGCTCAAAAGTGTGGGATCATTTTAAGAAAATGAAAGAGAAACCTGTGTAATATCTGCAGAGCAGAACTTACCTTCCACAGCAATTATTTTTAGTTAGCATATAGCTAAAATCTAACCATGGTTATTTAATAGCAGCTGCATTCTCGGTGATTAATTGATTACAAAAATAATCATTTGTGACAGCCCTAGGGTCAAACAATGTTTTAGTCAAACAGAACCAACAAGAATGAAACAAAACGTAAAGAATTAGAGAAAAAAAATAAATGTTAAATGTAAATAAATTCTAATTATAATAAATTAATAATRGTTTTACATCTAAAAATCATATTTTATTATTTTAATCTATTTTCCTCATTCAGCAACCTGTTAAATTTCTCTTGTTTCATGTAGGAGAAATACACATTTTTTCAGTCAGTATTTAATACAGCTGGCAAAATAAATTGTTAAAATTTGTATTATGTGCTTCTGTTTTTTAACTCAGGAGATTATTTTAAAAATCCTTCATTTCATGACGAAAGCCCCTCTTGATTCAAGAGAAAACTCCGTTTTTTAAAAAAATGGCTGCTTATTAATTATTTGTTAATCAATCTGTAAGATAAGTCAACTTCAGATTAATTCATTATCAATAACTTGCATCTGTAGGGGTCACCTCGAGTGAAGAAACAGGAGTTACTGCCTCAAAGCAGGTCTCGGACAGGCCTGAGAGAAGGCAGGAACACTGAACTCTATTTTAGGCCATGATGGGTCATTCCAACCTACACGAGGACTTCAGTTCTCTAATCAGATATTAAACAGAAACAATCTGTTCTGTTCGTGATTCATTGGTTGTTTAACTAAGAATGTTTATGCATCTGTTAATCATAATAATGACATGTCACAAAGAAAGAAAGTATCACTTCTATTCTTTTATCGTGCCTAAAATAGATTAATGAACAGTATAAAATCACAGAAAATCATCACCATGTTTTCATTGTGTTTTTATATAAATCACTGTTTTATTTTACTGAAACATCAGTAATATAATTTTGAGTTTTTCTTAAGAAAATCTTACATTTATCTGGACACAGGTTCAGAATGATTATTTAAACAGGTGTTAATTAATCATCATAAGTGTTTTACAGTGATTCTAAGAAGCAGAGAAGATATTATGATAATGTCTGTGAAATAGCTACAGAGTGTGACCTTCACTTCCAGCTGGCAACTCTCTTACCTTCTCTCATTTCTCTGACTCATGCTAAAGCTTCAGGGCGGATCTAAGTCGTCCTTCTTTCTTACTAACACGGACGCCTTAGAGACTCATCAGGAGTCTTCTTCCTGGATGCCGATACAGGAGGAGAGGCTGATTCTCTCCGGAGAACAGCTGGGCCTCAGGTTTCACCCATCCCGCCAAATAGGGGAGATCTGAAGGCCGGGGCAAGGAGCAAGCAGTTCCTGTCCACCTAGAGACCCAGGTCTCTTAAGTGTTTTCAACTCCCGAGGGGAGACTTTTATTTTGAAAGACGACCGGAACTTTCAGCAGGAATCTTTCTAGCCTGGGCTGAAACAGACGAAAAGTCACCTGAAAGACACCTTTTCGCCAAGGACCAGCGAGGGCAAGCATCCTAGAGGGTCTTGGTGAGACAGCCATACCAGGGGTTCTTAAGCGGACATCACCAGGTAACGCTGACGTGTTCGTGGGTGACGTGTCAAGTATGAGGCCTGAGAGCAGAGAGGACGTGCTAATCCGGTTGGACACAGATTTTCAAAAATAAAAGCAGAAACACTAATTCTTAATTTCCTTACCTTCTCTTACCCTTTTCTCCTGGCCAACTCTAAAGTGAAAGTGCCAGTAAATTGTTAGTTTAACATCAGACTGATGTTTACTGTCTATATAAGTAATCTGAGTTAATGTGAAAGAAATTCGGACGCGGGTTTTATCATATTTACTTAGACTCTTAGTAGGAAGCTCACAATCAGGTGTAATTTATGATTTTGTTCAATTTGTGTAAATAAATGATTGCATAATCTTTTATGAATCAACTTGAACCAGTCTGAGTTCCCTCATTGTGTCCCTTCACTTTGCACAGACAAATATTAAAGTAATGAGGAAAACCTTGGTAAAATTTACTCTCATAACTTAGTTATGGGAAGATGTAAGGTGAGCTTATTTGCATAAGTAACTCATCCCTTACACATCCTTAAGGAGTTAACTTAATTTATATCTACTCATATTCATTTAATTAAGCGTTTTAATGATTTGGCCGATTAATCGAAAAAATAATCAACAGATTAATCGATTATTAAAATAATCTTTAGTTGCAGCCCTAAAATCAACACTAATTTCAGATTTTGATGAAAATGTAATGTATAAACTGCATAAGCAGGGTCTATTATGCCAGAAAGGAAAAAAATAATTGTCAAACAGTATTAAATGTGCTTCAGTGGTTAATAACATTATTAGTACCCATCATCAGTACAGATTTATTTTTCTCACAGTAACCACTTAAAGTTTAACAGTATGCTAATCATTGACTTGTATGTCGTGAATTTCCATAACAATTTACCCCATCAGCATAAAATAAAGTTAATCAAAGTTTATAAACTCTGCCTTCTGAGGCGTCTACTCTTATTTTATTCCATACTAAAATATTAAAGATGATGGTGATGCTGACCTCAGATATAAACTTGTTAAGTGAATTCAGTCCAGCAATCCAATTAATGCTATAAACGTCTTCTGGGAGCTTAGCCAATAATGAGCAGAGTGTAGCGAACGCTTGTTGTTGTACATGAAAACTCAAGTAACAAGCCTGTGACCCATTTAGCATCCTGACTCCATTTTTTTTTAGAAGTTCTGTCCTGGATGATCACTCCTAAATAGAGAAGCTGTACAAAATTATTCCAGCTTCTGCAGCTTTTGTGCTCCGATGATCCAAACCTAACTGACAAGAAGTCTTAAATGAGACACACAAGCGCAGCACAGACTCAACCTGAACAGCACCAGGAAGGCAGAAAGCTTTTGGTTATGTACAAGGAAGAGACGACTGCTAATGATTGACAGGTGTGAGTGATCAGGCAAACAGGAGCTCTGGAGAAAATAAGGACATAGAGGAGAGAAAGTCTCTTCCTGCCAGGCTGAAGAGGGTACAGGAATACAGATGATTAAGAACATCTAACAGGATGAACTCGATCCACTCAGCCAATGTTTCAGTTTTTATAAAGTCGGATTAAAGAGGTGGTATTCAATGTAGTTCCACTGCTACAGTGAGAATTAACTTAATTGCAAATGTTGTAAATAGCTACTAAACTGCTCTCATTTTTACTTTTTAAATGTTTTCATGATGACCGATACATCACAACGTTTTTACTGCATCAGTATCATTGCAAATATACAAGTAAACTGACCAATCTACTTGAATGCATAACTCAAATCTAACAACCAAACATGGACATTTCAGCAAACCCAACCTGTTAAGGAGCACAGACTTGGTCCTTGTCGTCTTTAATCAGGCATTCTGTGGGTCAGGGAGTATACAGTGTGTGGTAACAGCCAAAACATCCACATCTGTAGACGTGTCCTCGATGTTTTACCAACAAACCTAAAGACTGAACTGATTCAGGGGGAACAGAGATACAAAAGCCAAACCTTTTTACCCTGTACCAGTTGAAGGTAGCGCCAAGCCACAGCAAACATTGTCTCAGGGCACTGTACACAGAAAGCAATCTAAAGAAGCCAGCAGATTGTGTTGAATCACTTCATCATGATGTCCTGAGCAGCTCATTGGTGACAGTGGAGAGGAAAAACTCCCCCTTAACAGGAAGAAACCTGAAGCAGAACCAGGCTCAGGAGAGGCGGCCACCTGCCTCAACCGGCTGGGTTTGGGGACAGGAAAGAGACACAGACAAACACATGACTGGTCCAGATATAGTTTCCTATGGAAGAGCGACAAAGAAAACACACGTTATCAAAAGCGCAGCCAAGGTGTTGAGGGGATCCATTTTGGTGACCTTAGGATCGCATCTCTGTTTTTTGTGGATGATGTGGTCCTGTTGGCTTCATCAGGCCGTGATCTCCAGCTCTCACTGTAGCGGTTCACAGCCGAGTGTGAGGATCAGTGCCTCCAAATCGGAGACCATGGTCTTGAGCCAGAAAAGTGTAGGGAAAAGGGACGGATGGATGTTATCAAAATAAATAATTACAACAAACGTGGAAAACATGAAGAAATGTGCTCAGTTTGTGCTCCAGCAGTCTAAATCTATAGCAGCAGAAATGAAGAATAATTCAGGAAACCTAAGTCTAACTATGATTTATCACAAAGGAAAGTCTTCAGTCTAATCTTAAAAGTAGACAGAGTGTCAGCCTCACGGACAGAAACTGGAAGTTGATTCCACAAGAGAGGAGCTTGATAACTGAAAGCTCTGCCTCCCATTCTACTTTTAGAAACATGAGGAACCACAAGTAAACCTGCAGTCTGAGAGCGAAGTGTTCTTCTAAATAACTCTTCTTCTGAAGACACATAACAACATTTACCAGGTTAAAGAGAATCAGATTGTTGGAGTTACTTACTGTAGGCATCCAGTTAATCCCAGTTGTTCATACCAACATTACTTCTGAACAACACTGAGTACTGTGGTAGTACCACTGTGGTACCACAGTACTCTGGCTGTGGTACCAGTAGTGCTTGTACCACAGACTGAGAATCAAGTATTTAGGTATATTTATTCTCGGTGTGGTGGTTCTAAAGGAACAGCTTCTAACATGGAGGTTTAACAAATCTTTTCAGGTGAAATTAAAATATGTGGTATTACATTGCTGTCCAATGTTGGCTGGTTTTGGTTGCTCTATAATGGGTTGCATATGGTGCAGGCAGTATTTACTAGCAATGGTTATTTTCTGTATTTGGCTGTAGCAGATGTTATTGTTGTACACTATGAAAAAATACTTCAAAATGACGTAGATGTGAAAATAACAGTATCTTAAGTGTAAAAATCACAGTACAAGGTCATCTATAAGTCATTGGATTGCATTTTTATTGAAGTCTTACTGTCCAGTTGTAAATATTATCAATGTTATTCTTGTTGCTCTTCAAGTTTTATGTACTGGTCAGACTGGGGCACACGAGCCAAGATAGAGAAAGCTGGGATGAACGGAGTGGATCGTCAGGTTCTGGTGGCAGATGATATTGAATGGCCGAACGGCATCACACTTGGTGAGTGGAAAACAGAGTTTTTAGATTCTTTGTTTTATTTGCTTCACAGAAATCTGTAGATGTGACTAAAACAGCATTTTTTGCATGAATGCTCAACTTGTGATTGCTGCTTTGTGGAGTTTTAAAATAACACACTATGCTTGGTTGTATAAAGGTGAGAAACTTGACATTTTTTAAAGTAATCAATATCATCTAAAGGGATTCGTTGGTCAAGTGCAACAGTGCTTACGTCAAAGATGATCGATTTCTGTCAGCATGAAAAGCGCGTGTGTGTTTTTTTCAGATGTAGCCAACAGGCGTCTGTACTGGGTGGACTCTAAACTGCACCTCATAGCCAGCGTGGATCTGAATGGAGCCCACCGCAGGACCCACCTGTCGTCTGCCGGGAGGCTGGGACACCCCTACTCTCTGGCTGTTTTTGAGGTTTGTGAGGGTTTTTTTTTTTTGTATGTTTGTGTCACACTGCATCACTTAGCAACAGGTTTTAAAGCTTAGGTAGTTGCCCTTAAAATCATCCAGCCTCCCCCATGTTATCAAATCCTCATCTTTTCTTAAAGCCTCTCAGGGGCCTGCTGAGAAAACGGCATGTAATCAGTGTTGAATTGGATTTACTGCCTGCTCAGTTGGTGTCTTTATGTAGCTTCTGTTTGTTTTCTCTGGTGAGATTCACTGGCTTAGCATACCAAGCAGCTGCACTTCTGCTTTTGGTCACCAGACAGTTGTCTAGTTTGGATTACATCAATCTTCAGAGAACATAAACTCAATTCTGTCATTGTTTGTCAGATTACTGTTGGTCCTCTTAAAAAAATGTCTCTTAGATAAGATTTAATTTAGCAGCAGGTCAGGACTGTTATGTCTTCCTAGAAAAGTAATAAAAAAATCTCTTTTTAACAAGGTTTATTATTGCCAATAGTAACGAGTGTATATATAT